GACATCATCTCCTGCAAGGAGCTCAGGGCTGGAGCCCAGGGGTGTCTGTCTGTCTGCTCCTGCCTGCCTGGCTGGCCCTGCACACTCACGGTGCCCTGGTGTTAACCCTGCCCGGGGAGGATGCTGCAGCTGGTACCCTGCACCCTGTGACCCTCAGGAGACTGACATTGCCTGCATCAAAACACCACTGTGCCTGTATGGGAAGCTGTTGCCCCGCTACAGTCACCTTTCCTTTGGGATTAGCCAAAATGCTCCTCAGTGATGGCTGGGCCCGGGCTTCTCTGTAAGCACTCTACTGCTCACCAGGAGTCATCCCCCAAAGAGTCTGGGAAGTAAGGGGGTGCTGGATTAAACTGCATTTTCCAGACAAAAAGAAAAAACTCAAAACATTCCTGAGAAAGCAACCTGGCATTCCTTCCCCTCAGAGCCTCCCTCACAGCTGGAACAGTGGGGAGTGACAACTCAAAGCACAAAGGTCTGCACTGCCCCATTCCTGGAAAGAGATTGTCTGGATTTTTGCTGTTCAAAGTGCAGCTTCCAAAAAAATCTGCGTTCAGCAGTTGGTGGGGCCGCAGCTGGGTGTGAGCACAGCTGGACAGATGTTGCAGAGGCGGCACACACGTGAAGTGTTTCAGAGCCAGGCGCCTGCAGGAAGGACCCAGTGGGGTGGGCAGATGCTCCCCTGGTTGTGCTGCTTCTGCATTGTCCCCTGCACTGTGCGGAGCCCTGCGCTGCCTCAGGGTGGCTGTGTGGTTTTCAGTGTCTCTAAAATTCCTGCCCTTGCTGCCACATGAAGAATTCCTCACCCTACGACTGGCGAGGAACAGGCTGGCAGTTTTGTCCTCAGATGCTTTGGCTGGTGAGTGTCTGGCACCGTGTTCCCTTGCAAATATCTGGATAACTGAAGTCCAGGATCACCCAGGCTGGGTTGCAGCACGGAGGAAGAGGAGGGCGTGCAGCTCTGCGCAGCCCATGACTCTCTGACAACTCTTCTGGGAGCTTTGGTCAGCCCTGGAGAGTGACTGCTCACAGCTGCAGCCTGGATATACCCCAGCTCCTCCACAACCTGTCCCATGCCAGTGGTTAGTTTATTACGAGAGCAAACGTGTTTGGCCAGTTTGTTGTCCAGAAAAAATCAGATTCATTTTCCAGTGTGCAACAAGCAACTAATTACACACTCAAGAGAAACACTGATTATTTATTCCAGTGGCACAAGCCTGGGTGCTCAGTGGTGTTCCACAAATCAAGCACACCAACTCTCAAAACTTTTTACTATTTATACACTGTAGTGTTAAGGAAACTCCCCAGTCTGACCATTGTTGATCCTCTCTGGCAGTCACACTCCCAGTGCCAGACTTTCACACCTGGGACGAAAGCTCCTTCACAGCCCCAAACACTCCAGAGCAGGTTACCTTGCTGGCTCCACCCCAGGCTCCCCATGGAGTCTCAGAGGTCTCGTTCCACAAAGCCATTTATTCACAGTGCACTTACACAGAAACAGCTCGTGCTGATGCCTCCGAGGAGGGACCCCCAAAAAGGAGCCCCAGGGAATTTTCCACTCTCACTGTCTACCCAGGTGCAAGTGTAGCTCTTCCTCTCCAGTCGGCACATGCCACTCTCTCCGTGTCAATTCACCTAGCTGGCAGCACCCATCTTCACCTCTCTTGTTACCCAAATGCCTGCAACTGCTGGCCCCTGCTGTGTCTCCCAGTGTCCACTCACTCTGGCTGGTCTCACCGGGCTTTGTGCCCTTTGTTAACAATCAAAGGCAGCCCCTTGTCTTTCTCTTGGCTCTCACCCAGAGCTCAACCTGAACCTCGAATTCAGCTTGCAAACACAGCTGTCTGCACCAGATGCATCCCTAGCAAACATAGCATTGACGTTCAAGGCGACAAGAGACTGTTCTCTTATTAATTAATGTTCTGGCTTCTGTCAGTTAAAGATTCTGTCAGTTCTTATGCTAATTAGTCTGCAACCCTCAGTCTTCATCCTCTTTTGACATGGTGGGCCATGAGTCACTCTGTCATGATTTCTCCCTGCTGAAGTTCTTTTTACCCACTAAGCAGTCTCAGCACAGTTGCTGAGTTGGCCTTATTAGTTTCTTCCTTATCTTGGGAGTTCTGCTATAGGTCCTTGTGGCTTTAAAGTTCTGCATTCTTTGTGTCTACCTACTAGCCTTCTTCCCAAACTTTGTTAACCTCCCCCTAGGTATGAGATCACTGAAGCTTAACAAGGCAATTTTGCCAACAAGTAATTTATCTTTCCAACATCTGGACATAACTTAGGGCTTGTTTGCTTAATCTGTTCCATGGATTAAGTCTCCTTCTGTTTGATAAGGGGTGCAAGTGCCTAATTAGGTGGAGTTGTTCCATGCATCCCTTATGTGACCCATTACTGCACTCCACTGGCATTTATGGGGTAAAATGCAAACATATGTTCAGGCAGATTTCTTATCTCAGACCTCCAGCTTTCTGCTCACTTGCTCCTTTTTGGTCAACTCCATGGTCCCATCTGAACCAGAAGGGGCAGGAGGCTGTTCAGTTTTCCACTGAGAGTTTTAATTCACACACAGACACAGCCGCCCACCCACTACCCCACCTTAAACACTGATGCAGTGGGGGTGAAAGTGGGAGTGAAATTCCCATTGTCTCTCTGCTCAGATTTTCAATGGTATTACAAAACGGAAGCTTTTCCTGGGCAATGCAGCTCTTTCTAGACTCCCTTGGATGCATTCCTCAGAATACTTACACAGATTGACGTGTTCACAGTTGTGGTGGACATTCAAGCCCACTTCTCACTTCTGTGAGAGTCTATTACTCCACAGAAATCAGAGCTGTGTGTGGGGCACCTGACTGCATCTCCCTCGCACACTCTCTGCCTGGAAGAGCCCTTGCAATTAGCTATAGCAATGCTAATGCACTGCCCTGTTACCCTTAGACCCAGCCAAGGGCAGAAGCAGGGTAGAAAGAGGCTCAACCCACCTGTTATCTCTTCCATTTATACCTAAGCAGTCCTGGCACCCTCAAAGAGAGACTCACATAAAAATAAGTTTTTCTCTCAACACAAAGTCATCAAGCAACTATTCTGTAATAGCAGCATTTTAAAAATAATTCTGTTATTTGTTCAGTTTAATGTTAGTATTCTTTAATGTTACTGTTCAGCGAAAGCACTGCTTAGTGCTACTACACACAGTTTCTAAGTATTTATTTTGGTAAGACCCACCTGCTGGATTCTTCAAGCTGCTATAAAATGAGGTTAAAAACAGACACCTACAGGAAACAGCATATGGCTTACCTCAGCTTTTCCAGCTGCTCCACTAACCTCACTGAAGACTCATGTAGTCAAGTACACGAGAGTACTATTTCCTTGTAAATCCATGTGTAAATAAATAATAAACAACTAAACTAAATAAAAACTAAACCACTGATTCTTTCCCAACACTAACTTTGAAACAGAGGTATAGAACTGAATTCCCCCTGGAGAATTTTGTGCTTTACAGATCCCAATCATTGTAGAAAGCCACAGAGACACAAAAATTCAACATGTTGGAAGGCAGGAGAACACAGTAGCACCAGCACTGCTGGTGTTTTGTTGCATAAAGACTGTCAGGAGCCAAAGGCATTATTTTGACTTCTAGAATCTTCAGAGTCTGGTGGGGACCCAAAGCCTATTTGCAGTAGTTTTCTGGTAGAATCAAAGTGCCTTCTTGAAAACCTGAGGTCAGTTCCTACTCTGAAAATAACAAATCAAAATAATTGGAGGGAAAATCACTTGCCGGTTTTGTGGCCTCTGGATGTGGGATGCCCACAGCTCCCAGTGCTGCCCATCAGAGCTGCCAGGCATCACCTACCACAGCTGAACCCAGGGGGAAGGCACTGGTGACAGCTCCCACCCCAGGAACTGATTTACTTTACAAGATAAGTAATTCTGAGTACTTGCATGCACCATTTTAAGAAAGCAGATGGGCAAAATCTGAGTTAATGACAACCTCTCCTGTGACAGTACTAAAAGAAAAAAACATGAGCTGAACATTTCTTCTGCTGCAGGTTTCCTGTAGTCTGCAAGGGGAAAGGTCTTGTTAAAAAGCAGAGATAAAATGCACCAAAGGTAACCTGAGTTCTGGATCCATGCGAAGTGTAGCAGGAATGCTCCCGTGGAAATGCAGCAGTGGATATCTGCAGAATTTAAGTAACTTACTAGGTCAAAAAGATACAGTGCCCTCCCAGTCATCATCCTTGTCTTCACCCTTTCTATTTTACTGTGCTTGAATGCAGAAATGTAATTGAATACTTCACAGATGGATCCTAAATTAATTCACTGCCGTTCAGCACCAAGTCTGTAGCCCAGCTTTCCCATGTTCTTGTCTCCCTAAACCCATACCCATGAAGTCAAAAGTGCACAAGCACCTCCCTACCTCTGAGAGCCCAGACTCAGCCCATTTGGAGTGCAGACATTAACTCCTGCACAAACCAAATGTGTCTTTAACACCTCATATTTATTAAATGCAAGTTATTTTCTGGTATTTTGTGGTGTTCTAACTTCTGTGGGTATTACTTCCATAATTACTGTTGGTAGACCATAGAAGAAATCATTAAAAGTACTATTTCAAGAACACAATACATCTGTAGGCAATTATATAAATATTAAAATGTTAAGCCACAATTCCTGAACACAATACAAGAAACCTGGATATTCTAAAATAAATCACACCAAGAAAGTGGTGTGTTCTACTTCATTTTTATCCTGTCACCCAGGGATTAGGTAAATCATCCTTGATACTCAGTAGTCAGGGATAATATTACTAATTCCCAATGAGACCATAACCCTTTTTTTCACTGAAGAAATTGACACAGTAAGCCAGAAGGAAGTTCATTTATACTTGTCTTGGGTATACTTCAGTTTGGAAAAAAACCCCAGTGAATAAGAGTAATTTAGAATATTAGGTATCTATGTCAGCCTTGTAGTTCAAAAATTTGTAATTGTTTATAACTTTCAAACAATTAACTTTATTGTAAGCTTTATTGCAATAAATGGATGATTTGCACAAAAAACAACAAAAATGAACAGATAACACTGTGTACTCCAAAAGTATACTCTTTCTGGCATAAGCAAGAGGTGAAAAATTATCCACAAAAACATTTTAAACTTGAACCCAAAGGATTCTGTTGAACTGTGGAGCAATCAATTTGGTAACATATGAACACACTGTTTTCCATAGAAAACAAAGCAAGACCTCATCTGACAGACAACAAAACTTGACCAGAGTCTAAAGCTGCAGAAACCACCAGCAGAGTCCTGACTTTTTGATCACATCCCACAGCAGAGAGGCAGGCAGGGCTCAGTCTCTGCATCCTGTCCAGTGCCTGGCTGCTCCCAGGTACTTCCCATTCTGAGCAGGTTGGTTGGTGTGCAAGGACAAGTGGACTTTTGACCTAAAACAACCCATCTGCTGCTCTGGAGGTGGGACACTGCAGAAAACTGCCCAGGAACTACACTCTCTTTTCAGTGAGCATAGATCAGCCACCTTTTTAGCAGTGATTTGAATACCACTCCATGGACACAGGCAGATATTCCCCTGCTGCAGTTTAGCAGCGACTCCCGTTGCTGAAAAAGGCCACTGAGAAGGCAAACCAATTTCATAAAAAATTTTCAAGAGGGAACTTTTCTCTCTTAGGATTCTTAACACCACTAGCAGAGAGCAGCAGAGTAGGAACAGAGACGTGAATACACAGAAACAGATCAGCTGCAGCATTCCTGCAGATGTGTAACAAACTCCTGACCCAAAGCAATGACATTGCCAGAACAGTTAAGAGTAATCAGTAAGTAAATTCTGGCTTCTACATCAATTTACCAATTCAACATCAGTGTGCAGACAAAATGGTAAATTGCTGTCAGATGGAATTCCAAGGAGTTGAGTTATATTAAGAATTAATCAAGATGAGGAGAAGCCTAGTGGCTTCACTGACAAAACATAGCAGCATTTGCCAGCAAGAAACCACCTGCTACTATTAAGAGTTTGAAAATGTTGTTCTCTTTCAAGACAAATGTGGTTTTAAGTCACTGAAAGTTATCTGGCTAATATACAACTAGTATTCAGATTTTCCCCTGTGTAATTGCTTACTAGAAGCCAAAGACAAAAAAACATAACACAAACAAAAATTCTTGGAGAACACTGCAGAAAGCATCAATGTATTACACAAACAGTACTTTAAAATCTCTGTTGGAAGCAGGGACTATAGGACATCAACTCCCCTTTCTGCTTTTTCAGTTTCAGTTTGAGTCAATGTTAAGAAATGTTTGCAGTGGAAGAAAATGAAAATTTTCAGCTTTCTTAGTCCAGAGTTAAAAAATAAAGACAATATTAACTCCATCAAACTTTACAGCTTTCATTTAGTTTTGTAAAAAAATACAATATTTTATATAACCAAAAATATATTACAGATGCCAGCACACCTACACACCTACAGTTCTGCTTCAGTGATGTTCTCATCAGGGCAACAATAGTACTCCACAAAACAGATCTGTCCATCTTCATTCCTAATCATATACTGCAGTGAAAGAAATCCTTGAGCATCTGTTCGAATGGACACTTTACAAGACAAAGCCAATGCCTTTGTGGATGGTTTAAGCAAAGAAATCTTGTACCTGCAGGAGAAAATATTATTATTATATATTATTTCAGTAATATGAAAAAAATACATTGTGCAAAGAGGAGCTGAAACATTAGTCATGAATAAAGACCCAGAACAAACGAAAAACAATTAGGAACACGCTTATTTGGTGTTTCCCTGGTAACAACATTAAACTGTCATTGTCAGCACTTAGCTTTTGATTACAGACACCGCCTTTTATCAGATGGGAATATTTTTGCCCCCATACTAATAAAATAAATGTTACAGAAATGCAAAAGCAGTTTTTAAACTTCCCATCAAGAATGCGTGACCTGGCACAGGGCATCAGTCACTTTCTAACCTGTTTGTCTGGGTCTGGTTACAGTGGAATGCTTCCATCAAATCAGAGTCCCTAGGGTAGTCTAGATGTGCACTTCCAGCATTTCCAAAAGTGGATAACCTGGAAGACAAAAAGCACCATCTCAAAATACCTGATGAGAGGTCTGTAAAAACTCATCAAAATGAGTCATTGTACATATCTCATGACTGTTTCACAAAACACTGCTGTTTGTTTCACTTATTTAATTAAAAATGCTAAACTGTCTACACCACTGTCACATTTATGAAGTTGTCAAAATACTCATTACTATGTTAGAGAACATACTGTCCTTTGCCATATTATTGCAATTCTTCCTGAAATGAACCAGTATTCTAAAATATCTCCCCTCTCTCCACCATGAAAACTTCCACTCCTTACCAAAGGCAGCCAAGCACAAACAATTGAGTTAAAAGCCATTTCTAGTACCTGAAGTAGGGTTTATCAGGAGACATGGTAATCTGCAGAACTTCACTGGTCATATCCAGTTCAGCAAATGCTTCTCGCAGTCCCTCCGACTGCAGGATAATTTTATTAACAACATTTGTACTGCAGAAATCAAAATCTAACAACTCCTCAGGTTCTTGAGTGTTGATTTTGCACACTGTTACTACTCCTCCTTCTTCCAAGAACAGCATCAGGGGATCCCCATAGCCACGGTAACACAATCTAAGGGCCGTTGATGTTCCTGAAAAAGAGAATGAAATATATTCTGCAGACACCACAGCTAGGTCATTTGATCACATTAAAAAACTCACATTTTTCTGGCACATGGGCCACAGATCAATTTTAGCGCTGCTGCCTCCTAGATACCCTCTGAAATGCTAACGGTTATGCAGATAAAATTAAATTAGTTGTGTGTAGACAACTCAAATCCAAATAATTTCACACACCAGCTGCGCCAATTAAGACACGCTACAGTTTAGAGGAATTGGAAAATCCTCATGGTCCTGTGGTTCTCTCTGGCTCACACCATCTTTCCTTACTACTCCTGTTACTTGTGCAACCCAAACTGAAGTTAATGCAGCTGAGCTCGTGCTGTGATCACACCCTCCTGTTGCAGGTTATCACCACCTGAACCGCCAGTTTCCCAAAATCCTGTGATTTTGCTCTTTCGTACACTTGATTTGGATCTTTAGGTCAGCCACAACCAAAACCGTAGAGGAATGAGGAGTTCAACACAGAGCTGCAAGGAAGAACTGCCCAGAAGGATGCCACGTGAGTACACGTCCTGCAGCACCCACACAGCCTTCTGTGGATTCATGGAAATACACCACACCTGGCAAGGAGCTGGTTCCAAAAATGGTGAGGCAGTCCAGAAGAACAGACAAACTGATCCGGAACATCACAGACTCCTCCTGAACGGAAAATTCCTGAAAAATTTCTGCCTGTAAGTTAAAGCAAAGAGATGAAAAGTTGGGAGTTTCTGCAATTATCTTACAGTTTAAACTTCAGGGTTTCCCATCCAGAAATCAGTGCAACACAAAGAGATTTCTACATGCAACACAGCATTGATTATAGAAAAATGGGTCTTCATCCTCAAACTAGGAAAACACAAGCAAACCACACTTAAAATAAGGTAAGATGACACAAACATGAAACCCTAAACTATCTATTATGGTTTCAGTACAACCTACAAACAGCAGAACTGGAGCTACTTACTTCTGGAGCTTAGAAACATTCATGGAACAGTACAATGTGTCACCCTTCTCCAGTAACAATACTTACTTTTTTATGCTCAGAGCATGAATAAACATTCCCAATACTACTACTTAAGAACAGAACAGAACAGAACAGTGACTTCACCACTCTGAAATATGTGCTGAATCCTACCTTTGACTAGCCTGATGGGGATAAACTGCTCCATGCTATCCTGTCTGTCACTGACACTCACTGCTTTGTGGCGCCTACAAGAACAGTGTCTCAGAAATAAAGCAGGGTGGCATGAACTGCTTTTGGACAAGTAATTTCATATTTTCTTGGCAGCCCAGAGGGAAAACCTCATCCTGGGGTGCTCTGCATAACCATCTTTTACCAAGTGTCTGTGAATCTGTACTCTTTCACAGCTGACATAAATCCAACCTATTAGCTTTGGGATGAGCTATAAAAACACTTAAAGAGGGATACTACAAGCCCTTGCTTGTGCACCTAAGCACAGCATGGCCAGAAGGAGCCATGAGTTTGGCAGGCACCAGTACGTTACACGAGGGTGCAAACCCGCTACAATGTCAGGTGTTCATGGATGTACTGGTGCAGGATTTGGAATTCCAGAAGCATGGACACTCATAAACAAGGGCAGCCTCACCATGGCCCTTCCTACATGCCAGCTCAGACCTTGCTTCCAGCAAAGTCTCCCCCTCTCCGCAGGTGAGCACATGGAATTGTTGGGGTTGAAAGGGACCTCTGGAGATTATCCAGTCCAACCCCTCTGCCAAGGCAGGGTCACCTGGAGCAGTTGACACAGGAACACATCCAGACGGGGTTTGAATGTCTGCAGTGAGGGAAACTCCAAAACCTCCCTGGCATTCTGTTCCAGTGCTCTAGCACCCTAAGTGTAAAGAAGTGCTTCCTCGCGTTGAGGTGAAACTTTGGTGGTTTATTTTATGCTCATTGCTCTCCTTTCTGTCACTGGCCACCACAGAAAGGAGTCTGGCACCATCTTCCTGGCACACATGTTTGAGATATTTATGTGCATTAATGAGACTCTCAGTTTGCTGCTCTCCAGACTAAACAGACCCAGCTCCTGCATGCTCTCCTCACAAGAGGTGCTCTTTAATCATCTTTGTGGCCTCCGCTGGACCCTGTCCTGTCACTCCTTGTCCTCCCGGTGCTGCGACAGCGGCGGTAACCGGGGCCTGTGCAAGGTCTGCAGCAGCCCTGCCCTCCCCGTACCTGGATGAAGGCGTTGGCCTGGATACACTTGGCATCCTCCACGGTGACGCGCAGCCCGCTGGCCGTGGCGAGGCAGGTGGCGTGGTCCTGGAAGTGCACGGCCCGCAGGAGGCTGGACAGGTGCCGGGCATTGTCCAGGCTGGCGGACAGCGCGTAGCGCTCGCCGCTGGCGGGCGGCTGCGCCGAGAACGGCATGGCCGGGCGGCGGGAGCGCGGGAAGCGGGAGCGCGGGAAGCGGGAGCGGGCACTGCGAACGGGAGCGCAGGAAGCGGAGCGGGGGCACTACGAACGGGAGCGCAGGAAGGGGGAGCGGGCACTGCGAACGGGAGCGCAGGAAGCGGAGCGGGGGCACTGCGAACGGGAGCGCAGGAAGCGGAGCGGGGGCACTGCGAACGGGAGCGCAGGAAGTGAGATCACAGCCTCGCCAGCACAGGAAATGCGAGCGCAGGAAACGTGACCGGGGAAGTGGAGCGGGCGGGTAGCGAGCGCGGCATGGCGTGCGGGCGGATGGCGGCCAAGAGGAAGCGTGCGGCGCTGGCCGCGGGGAAGGCGAAGCGCGCCAGGAGCGCCCCGAGCGCGGGCGAGGCGGCTCCGGAGGGCGGCCCCAGGGAGAGCAGCAGGCCGCCGCAGGAATACAGCATCCCGCCGCCCGTGTCCCAGGTACCGCCGCTCGGCCCGCGGCTCGCGTTGTCTGAGGGGTCACGGCCCAGCCGGGACAGAGGCGTTTATTCGTAGTCTTTTGTGATACAAAGTACAAGTAAAAGGGAACGTGGCGGTGCGGTTTTTTCGTGAGAATACGCGAAAAGCGCTGCCCTGGTCGATGTCGGTAAGATGTGTTACCTCCGTCTCAGAAGTAATTGAAAGAGTTGGGCAATTCTGTTGTATAGAGAAGCTGTGTGGAAACTGTGCCCGTTCCATTTAGGAATCACACGGAGAAGGTTTCGGTAATTGCTTGCTTGTAAGAAAAAGGTAAAGCACTGCGTGTAAACACAAAGATTTCGCCATACGCTTGTCGACAGGAGAGGCTGGGCTGTGCTCCGGGGCTGTCCCTGAGCCCATTTTGCAGGAAAATAAGCGATGCACGTGGCGTTTTAGTAGTTGTGTGGGAGTGCAGGGCTGTCTGTGCCTGGGAGCACGCTGTGGATCAGGATGACACGGTTCCTGCTGTAAAAGCTGTGCCCCCCTGCTCTCTAGGGAAGTCTCCACTCCTGCTGAGAGCGTGGCTCTGCCTGCTTGGGCAGGTAAAAATGAAGGTTCTTGCTGTGTCTTTTTGTATTCACTGTGGAAACTTTTATTTTTGCTGCGTTATAACAGTATTAAGGCTAGAAGCTTCCCACGTGACTGTTGTGTCTTTTTTCCTAGGGCAAATGGAAAAACAAGGAGCGAGTGCTGATATTCTCCTCTCGTGGAATTAATTTCAGAACCAGACACCTAATGCAGGACTTAAGGACATTGATGCCTCACTCTAAAGCAGGTGGGGGCTGAACATCATTCCTAACTTATATTTTGAGAATACTTTTAAGCCAAAAGCCCTGTTCTTTTATTTTTTTTTAATGTGGTACAGAAGAGTTTTGATGAAATTTGTATCTTAAACAAACACCTTTTGAGCCAACAAGTACAGCAATTTTTGTATCATAGTATTTTCTGGGAAGTGAATCCTATGCCATCAGTCCTGAACCTGCACAGTTACTTTTGTTGCTATGTTTACATATTCCATAACATGACAGAAACAATTTGATAATTACCTTTTAATTTATAAACTCGTAAAATTTTTGTAAAAAACCTGACTGTTAAAATAATCTCTTGTATTAAATTGGTTTTCCAGCCTTGTAAATGTTGTTTTTGTCTTCCAGATACTAAAATGGACCGTAAAGACCAGTTATTTGTAATCAATGAGGTAATTCAGGATTTATCTTTGTGCTTCTTTATTTTATTTTATTTTCTATGGAAAATCAGTATGCAAGGAAAAGGGCAGCCAAGTTCAAAATGTTACTTCATAGGTGAAAATTATACCAAAATATTGATACCCAAAAAGCCAAAAGTTGACTTTTGATTAATAAAACTAGAATGAAACTTTTAATTAAATACAGATTTTCATTATGAGGGAATACAGCATAATGTGCTTTTCTGTGTAGGTGAGAAGTGTAGTACAGCTTATGCTTGAACAATGCAGGACACAAATATGCAGCCAGCCCAAATGTAGTAGGACATTCGATATTTCTGAAGCTAGAACCTAATGTCTCAGCTCCTGTTCTTGTGTTTGTATCCTGGACAGCTTATCATGCTGTTCGTAGCTTTAATGAGGTTATTACTCCTTGTAGTGAGTATGTGAAATTTAAAAAAGAAGCCAAACCAAAATTTGGGTATCAGTAGATGTCATTTAATAAGACAAAATCTTTGCTTTTGAACATGCATTTTGGAGAGGGGAGAGATGAATGTGGAAAGTTATCAAAAATGTCTTCAGGATGTTTGTAAGCAGCTAATTTGATGTGTCTTGTGTAGGTGTGTGAAATGAAAAACTGCAATAAGTGCATCTTTTTTGAAGCCAAAAAGAAACAGGATCTCTACATGTGGTAAGGAAATGTTATGTTTTGTTATATTGCTGTTTATAGCTGCAAATGCTTCAGTTCTAGCTGAAGCTTCCTACTGTAATAGTGAAGATGCATGAAATACTTCTGCTTAGTTAAATTTGTTCTAATATTGCACTTCTGTGCATAGTGCAAATTTACAATGCATGAACAGCTTTTGGAGACTCTTCCCAGAAGGATTTTACAAAATTATTTAGAAAACAAGTGTTTATGAGCATAAAGAAGTTATGTTTACATTAAAGGAAGTCAGTACAGCTGTAAAAGTGACAGAAATTACTTCAATGCAGGAATAACTGGTTGGGGTGTAGTGTGGAAATCCAGCATGTATTCTGGCTGCTGTTAACATTTTTCTTTCTCTCTTCCCCGCCACTTGCCCTCTGAAGGCTTTCAAACACACCACAGGGACCATCTGCTAAATTCTTGGTGCAGAATGGTAAGCTGGTGGACATTATTGTGTTTGTATTATTGCTGTTCTGTCCAAAACTTTTTCTGTAAGTAATAACTTTTTTTAAAATCACTGTAGTTCACACACTGGCTGAATTGAAGATGACAGGAAATTGCCTAAGGGGCTCAAGACCCCTTTTGTCTTTTGATCCAGTAAGTATAGGTTTTATTTCATTTGGGTCTGTTCTTATTCTTTTTGCATGACTATTGCATTTAGCCTTGTATGTAAAATAACATTTTTATTTTTTGTAGATATTTGACAAGGAGCCACACTATGCCCTGCTAAAAGAATTGTTTATTCAGGTCAGTCTATAGTTTTACTGTTTCTTCACTGGAGATGTGTTTTGGCAACATACTTAAGAATCTCAAGTGGTTTTTTTTCAAGTAGCAGTTTTACACTTCTGAACTTTGAAAATATCACAAAGGATTAGGATCATATTCTTAGCACAACTCAGAAACTTATTTCTTAAGTTTGGGTTATGAAATGTAATCTCGGTTTGGGAATTTAGTAAATTAAAAGGAGTTTAAAATGAGCCGTTTTTGTTTGACCTCTTAAACTGCAGATGTTCAGAAACACTGCCTTTTATTGCAGATATTTGGTACACCACAGTACCACCCCAAAAGCCAGCCTTTTGTTGATCATGTTTTCACCTTCACCGTCACTGATGAAAGGATCTGGTTTCGCAATTACCAGGTGAGTGGTCTCTCTAGCTCTTCAAGAGGAGGTCAGTGGAGTAACTTCACATCAAATCCATTAAATAAAATAAGAATCATTATTATTGGTATCAGGATATACCAGCCCCTAGTGCTTGCAGATTCAGTGTCCTGAAATGAGAACCTTTTCCCATATCTCTGGTGAGATGTGGTTCACTGAACTTGCATTCATTAAGTTGTGATTCTGTGAGGGATGTGTTGGTAGCAGGACATACTACCCAAGGCCTAAACTGTGCCTTAACCTAAATTGCTGCTTTGACCCAAAGTCATCTAGAATTTAGTTTCTGTAGAAGGAATTGACAAATACAGAGTACTCCAAAAGCTCGCTTGAATTTCAAAGAACTGCTTTATGTAAAGAACTGGGTTTAAACAAATCTACCTAATCAAGTACCTTATCTTGAATTTAAATTCAGGTGTGTATTACCTTATGTACACAAGGTCCCTGCAAGGTCATATGCTTTGATTCAATCTGTGAGAAATTGAGAAAGTTTTCTTTTTATTGCAGATAATAGAAGAAGATGCATCTCTAGTAGAAATTGGGCCTCGTTTTGTCCTGAACCTCATAAAAATCTTCCAAGGTAGCTTTGGAGGACCAACTCTCTATGAAAATCCTCATTACCAGTCCCCAAATATGGTAAGCAGCTGTGTCTTTGTGTTCTGTTTCATTTAGCAACTAATTTGAAAACCAGCCTTGCAGTCATTCTGTGCGGGAGCACCAAGTATGCCTTTCCCCATGACCCTTTGTAGTGCCCTGAACCGGTGACAGTTTGAGAGCAGAGTAGTTTTGTAATCATGAAGTGAATGCAGAAGTCATGCCACTGAAAAGATGACGTTACACTGAGGGTCTCTGCCATTAAGCAGAGAAATTAGCATTAAAGAAATTAGTTTCTTTAATACCAGATTTCTTCCATCGTGCTTATTTGAAACATGATGAAATTTAAATTCTTATTTTTATAGCATCGCCGGCTGATAAGATTGTCAGTGGCAGCTAAGTTTAGAGAGAAGCAGCAAGTGAAAGAAGTGCAAAAGATAAAGAAAAAAGGGACTAAGGTCCTTGTTGAAGAAGATCCTACTGAAGTAGTCTTTGAAACTCCAGCTGAAGAGAAGCCAGTGGAAATACAGCTTGTGAAACCAGAGTCAAAGCCAATTGTCAAAGATAAGAAGAAGCTACGCAAGATTCAGAGGAAAAAGCAAAAAAAGCTATTCAGAACTGAAGGATCTGCGTAGATGTTACAAGGAATGAAACTTCATACAATATCAACCGAATATTGTAAATATTTGAATTTACATTGTAGAGACAAACATGTCTGAATTTCAATTTTAAGTGAACAAAACATACATTTCTTTATAAAGATTGAGTTTGCATTCTTTTATTGTCTTCTGGGATTCTGAGTTTTCAGAAATAACATGGTATCTCATTCAGCCTGGCCTTAAACATTTCCAGGGATGGATCATCCAGAACTGCTCTGAACAACTTCTCTGGGGCTGTTTCTTTATTACATACAGAATACAGTTGACAGTTCCTGACCTCATGACCTGGTTCTTCCACTCACTAGTTCTGCACTTCCCCAGACTTTCTTGTGTTTCACAGTCTTGCCCATGCCCTGTTTCTGCTTGATACCTCTTTTTGAATTTCCAGCATC